CTACCTCTGCATCACAACCCAAACGCGATTCTGGCCTCGACTTAAACGTCCCTCTTCCGGGATATGTTCACAGCGGTATATATAAATCACCTGGCCTCACCCAAGGCCAAAAGTTGTACCATCTCCGGTACAAAACTCAAGGAAAAGCTAACCAAATAGTAAAACGATTCTCTCTCTGTGATGAAAGCTTTAATCTCGCATGGGAAGCATTTCGGTGTCGATATGAGAATAAGCGTATTTTGGTAGAAAACCAAATACGAATACTGATGAACCTTAAACCCATTCCCACCGAAAGTAGCGAAGACATACAAAGGCTGCAGTCTTCAGTAAACGACTGCCTTGAAATTCTCGTAACTCAGCAAGTGTCAACTGAAAATTGGGACCCCATCCTCATTTATATAGTCACCTCTAAGCTTCCCGAAACTACAGTATCCCTATGGGAACAGTCCCTCAGCTCAAGGAAAGACCTCCCCAACTGGTCCCAAATGGCCAGTTTCTCACTACTCGGTACGAAGTGGCCGAAAGAGTTGATAAATGGCGCCTATCGAAGGCGAAACCTTCTGTTCAGCCCAATAGCTCCTCAAAGCCACCTTTCTCTCATAACAGACCACCATTTAAACCCTCTCACTCTCAAAACTTTCAAAACAGATCAATGTCACAAATACAATCTCGCGTGACAGAGCAGCGAATAATGCACAAATGTTCGATATGCAAGAACTCCTCTCATTCGCTGTGGAACTGCTTCGAATTCCAAAAGTTGGCAATCCCTGATCGCAAGAAGTTCATAAGAGAAAATAATATGTGTTTCAATTGTTTGTCACCGTCACACTTGTTGAAAGATTGCCCTAGCACCCAAACTTGTAGCCATTGTAATGAACGGCACAATTCAGTGCTTCATGAAGCCGCAAACTCCATGCCGAAAGGGCAACCCCCAAGAGTGCAAAAAACCAGCTCACAAGTGGCAACCATAACCTCCACAAACTCAAGTGTCCAAACTTCAACTCAAACAGACACTAATGAACAGGAAGCAGTAGGAACTCAGGTACAATCATTATCCTCCCTACAGCTATGGTACCGGTATCACACCGAGGATAAATATTTTAACTCAGAGCTCTCATCGGCCAGGGATCAGAACGAAGCTTTACCTCCACCAAAGCTCAAAATAAGCTAGGACTGCCCTGCAAATCCTCGTGCATGGGTGGAAGAGTTGTTCAAACTTCGAACAAATTATGCTCTTTAGTCTTGATTTCCGCCGATCTCCAAACTAAAATAAATGTTACCACAGCTGACGAAAATGCTCCCCAAGTTCCCACTTAATCTTGGCCACCAATAAAAATGGTCTCATCTCAAACTGGCAGATCCAAACTGCCACTCCCCATCCCAGATTGACCTCATGTTAGGCAGTGATATCATCCCTCGAGGAGGGAATAGAAAAAATCTTACCAACACTGCTAGCTCAAAAAACATTATTTGGTTGGATACTAAGTGGTCAAGTTTACGAAAACATAGCTTCATACTCTACACAAATAGAGAAAATTTCTAATGAGCACCTCAACTCACAATTGCGTCGGTTTTGGGAACTAGAAGAAGTTCCAAACCTCAAGCATACCAGGGGTCAGGCTTCCGTTCAAGCCAAGTTTCTCCAAAGAAATCTTTTTAGGTTACCTCGCTTCTCAGCGCTTCAGCAATTTCTCGGAATGGAGAGAAACCTCATATGATATGATAATGTCCTGGAAGAATATCTCACCCTAAACAACATTGAAAAAACAATGTCACAAGAAAAATTGCTCTCAGGCAAGTATATGTCGTTCTACCTCCCTCACCATGCGGTCATTAAGCCCAAAAAACGAACGACAAAAGTACGAGTTGTCTTTAATGCAGCAAAGATTTCGGGATCCGGTTACTCTCTTAACGATGTATTATATACCGGACCAACTTTACAGCCTGAATTGATGCTTCTCATCCTCAAGTGGCGAATGCATAAATTTGTATTAAATGGTGATGTCGAAAAGATGTACCGACAAATACTGCTACATCCCGAAGACCAGGACTTTTAAGGAATAATCTTTCCTTCACTCACAACTAGTCCTATTAAAGATTATAAATTAAAAACGGTCACATTCGGTGTAAACTGTGCGCCCTACCCCGCAATTCGCATACTTCACCAATTAGCACAAGACGAAAACACCAACTACCCAATGGCCGCCCCCAATCTGAATAAAGAAACGTATGTGGATGACATTCTCTCTGGCAGCCACGATCTGACTACTGCCACTTAATCTCTCACCCAAGTCATCCAGGCTCTAAACTCAGCAGGCTTTCCCTTGAAGAAAATAACAGCGTACCACCCAGAAATTCTCAAAAATGTAAGGAAAGAGGACTTGCTCGATACTAATTTTCTCGAGTTCGAANTTTGATGCTTCTCATCCTCAAGTGGCGAATGCATAAATTTGTATTTAATGGTGATGTCGAAAAGATGTACCGACAAATACTGCTACATCCCGAAGACCAGGACTTTTAAGGAATAATCTTTCCTTCACTCACAACTAGTCCTATTAAAGATTATAAATTAAAAACGGTCACATTCGGTGTAAACTGTGCGCCCTACCCCGCAATTCGCATACTTCACCAATTAGCACAAGACGAAAACACCAACTACCCAATGGCCGCCCCCAATCTGAATAAAGAAACGTATGTGGATGACATTCTCTCTGGCAGCCACGATCTGACTACTGCCACTTAATCTCTCACCCAAGTCATCCAGGCTCTAAACTCAGCAGGCTTTCCCTTGAAGAAAATAACAGCGTACCACCCAGAAATTCTCAAAAATGTAAGGAAAGAGGACTTGCTCGATACTAATTTTCTCGAGTTCGAAAAAGCAAGTACCACAAAGACTCTAAGGATCCAATGGAATGCGCTCAAATACACGTTTTCCTATACGATCGACTCAATCTCAGCCTCATCTGCTAGCACCAAACGACAGATTCTCTCCTCTGTCGCGAAATTTTTTGACCCCGCAGGATGGCTTACCCCGATAATGATCCAGGTAAAGATTCTCTTACAAGAGTTCTGGATCGACAGAACTGACTGGGACGAAAAAGTTGAGCTCTGCGGAGGTCTTCTCTTAGCCAAACTTGTCGCAGCTGGACAGTCCCATCTCGACCTCTCCAAACGGAAACTGTTAATGTGGTCGTACTCAGAAACATGATGATCTCCGCGAAAATTCGTCTGATAATAATCACACAAACCCGTCACTTCTCCCATGAAAAGGCCCGCTTAGAAGACTCAAAAGCTATTGACAAAAAGAGTTCACCATTAGTTCTTAACCCCTTCTTGGATAAAAATTGAGTTCTCCGCGTCAATGGACTCCTTGCTCATGGTATCCTGAGCTATTATGAACGTCACCCCATTATCATTCCGGAAAAGTCCCGATTCGCATTTCTCTATCTAAAGTTTCTTCATGATATACACCTCCATGCAGAAATACGACTTATGCAGCAGATGACCAGGCAAGAATTTTACATTCCCAGGCTCAAACCCCTCATCAAAAAATGCATTTATCAATATAAATCATGCACCACTCACAAACAGCAAATGCGCTCGCAGATTACGGCAGCCCTGGCGCCCGAACGATGCACTTTCGCTCCGCCCTTTACCACGACCGGTGTCGATTTTGTTGGGCCTTTTCAAACAAAAGCCTCCATGCTAAGATCCCCCGCTTTAGTGAAAGGCTATGTGGCCGTCTTTGTGTGCCTCACGACAAAGGCGGTATACCTCGAGCTGTACTCAGACCTGACCAAAGAGGCATTTATCGCCGCCTTTGCTCGTTTTGTTGGTTGCCGTGGTTACCCCGCTAAAGTGATGAGTGACAATGGGAAAACCTTTATAGGAGCCAAACGAGCCACTGGAAAGGTATTCTCGGTCTTTCTCCAAGCTCTCTCACCCCAGGGAATTAATTGGNCTTGACCAAAGAGGCATTTATCGCCGCCTTTGCTCGTTTTGTTGGTTGCCGTGGTTACCCTGCTAAAGTGATGAGTGACAATGGGAAAACCTTTATAGGAGCCAAACGAGCCACTGGAAAGGTATTCTCGGTCTTTCTCCAAGCTCTCTCACCCCAGGGAATTAATTGGAAATTGGAAGTCTGTAGTTAATAGTTTTAAACTTCAGTTCAAAAGGACTTCCGGGCTCCACAAATTTAAGTTGAAGGAGTTTACTACCTTCTTTTTGGTTGTTTGTGTTTCCAACAGGGTAGGAGTATGATGTATTGTGGAACGATTTTCCGTCATCCCTTGTCAAATTTGGATTGGAGACAAACCGGTTTCGGCGTTGTGCCATCTTCAGTGTCATTTTTCGTTCTGAGTTTACTACCGTTTTAATAAGAGTAGAAGCTGTACTAAATTCTCGTCGGATATCTCTACTCCAAGACCCGACGGACTTTACAACGCTCTCACCTGGCCACTTCCTCCGGGGTGCTCCCCTCCTATCATTCCCCGAATCTAATCACGAACACCTCTCGCTTGTTAATAGATGGGAAAAACTCAAGGCCTTACACTACCAATTCGCAAAACGATGGAAGGAAGACTACCTTAAAAACCTACATAAGCGACACAGGTGGAAGAATGCTCAAGTAGAACCCAGAATCTGAGAAAGCGTAGTAATTAATGATGACGCACTACCGCCCCCGGAATGGCGCCTGGACCGCATCGAAAAGTTGCACCCGGGCAAGGATGGCACATTCGTGTGGTCGACGTCCGCACCCAAACCGGCCTACTCACTCGGCCATTAGTAAAATTAGTATTTCTGCCTCCGAGCGAAGACACTCCCTCTTGCATTTAAACCGATTAGCCACTCCATAAAACCATCAAATGAATAAGCAGCCAAATGAATGCGCATCTTTTTCACACACCACACATACATGTACACTTCTCGTATCTCTCTCCTATGCCTCCCATATAGTATATACGAAACACTAAAAATTTCCGTATATAAACTCTTTACAGATGGATCACGACGAGGCACCTCAGTCAGCACCGCGAAAATTCATAAAATCGCAGATTAGAACGGGTCGCATACGCGTTCAACACCACAGCAAACAGACGACTACAAGCGATGCCGATTATGCGCCGGTCATCATGTGCTACGAGTATGCGCAGCATTTTTAGGCGCTTCTTACTGGCACCACACCCTACTTCCTCGAAATGGTACACAGGCAGCCCGCCGCACGAGTTCTCACTCCGCCCCCCAAACGCCTCGTCCAGGCAAAGAAAAACGTTCCAAAACGTGGGGGATCAGGGCGTACATCATAGCGCTACAAGTACCTAAAACATCATCCAACCGGAGGGAACCGTAAAGCCCGATTCACGGCGAATGGATTCCAGACTGCTAGCTACCGTGACAAGTCTACCAAAATTTTGGTTCACGAGGCAATGAGGGCTCTGCGGGAGCTGAAGGATGCTCTAGCCGCTTAACGCGGCCAGGGCCGGCAGGATGTCTGCGGGAGCACTGCAGCAATTATATTTAATTAACTCAGTTACTAGCTTACTAGTGTGCATTTCATTTTAAATTTCGTATCTCTTGAATTTAGTATCTCTTTAATTTTGTATCTCTTGAATCTGTACTTTGAGGTACCTCTACTGTGCACACTTTGTAAGCTTTTCTTAGGAGTTGTTGGCAACGCATGCCCAACTCGCTCTCTGCCAACTCGCTGTATACACAATTGTATGTATATGTCATAATGTAATAAATAAGGTGAAATCAATATTTGACGTACGCTTATTTGAAAATTTAAATATAAACAATTCGTATATTTATTTACATGAACCCTCTTTCGGCTTTGGTTTGGAACCGAATTCTGAGATAGGGCGTTCTTCAACCAATTTCTGCGATAGGGTGTTTTTCAACATTTTCGATATTTTTTTTTTCAGAATTTATGCGAGTTGCACTAGATATTTCCTGTTTTTCTCGATTTCAGCAAATAAATTGGTCATTTATCTATTTTTTGTGTATAACTATTTATTGATATTTACACATATAAATAGTATTGACGAAGGTACAGAAACCGCACTTGGCAGTGCAGCTGCTTTGTCTTGGAAACAATATGCCAGTACGCAGAATGTCCCCATCTCAAAAGATTTCCCTATATATGTATGTATATACACATTAAGATTAAGGATTTTTTCTCAAATTAATTACTGCAAATCAGGACCATCTAATATTACTAAATTGGCGAAAGTATAAATTTTATGCGATACTTCACATCTGTTTGGCGCACCGCGGTTGTAGTTATTGGACGTTATTTTTACGATATGCCTTTGCACTAATGCATTTGAGAACATATCCACACTTTGATCATTACCTATCATCTGATGAAATAGCAGGTAACATCGTTGATGGTACTGCATCTGGATCTAGGCGTCTTCTCTTAGCATTAATACTTGCATAAATGATATCATTCGATTTGAAGTGCAGAGCAGAAACTTTCGATGATCCAGTTAGTTTAACACCACACGCATTCATCCATCATTTTTTGACAGCTGTTATTACATATTTTATACTCGTTTATTATACACCGGCTGCAGGGCTCGTGCGCGAATCTTACCATTTTAATTATTACCTTCCTTTTATTAGCTCGAGATGTAACTATGTAATATTGATGCGCCTAAAAGATGCAGCGATTTCTATTCTCAAGTTGCATACCTGATGATAGTACGAATGGCAATTATAATAGGGAGGTTTTAGTTTTTTAAACTATAATTTTATTCTAATTAAAGCAAACTCATTTTTTATACTTGTACATATTTTGTGCGCAAAAGCCAACCGCGTACGGTTATTGTTTATAATTGCTATAAAACTTATTAAAAGTGTACTAATACCCAACCGCGTTGGGATATCTAATTATATTCATTTATCTTCTATAAACAGGGTGTCCCAGAAGTAACCTGCCAAACATGAGGAGAAGGCAGGTGGGNCCATTTATCTTCTATATACAGGGTGTCCCAGAAGTAACCTGCCAAACATGAGGAGAAGGCAGGTGGGGTGGTGAGCTCTCTGATAAACAAAAAAATTTCAGGTAAAAGTGTCACTGTTTTCGAAATATTTGAATTTTTTTGAATTCAAGTTAAATCGTGTCTTTTCATGTATTTTCTTTAACCGCATCTACAAACAAGGCTATACTTAGTAACTTTTTTATGTAAAATACTTCCAGATAGTTGCTTCTCCATACTCAATTGCAATGTAGTTAAAATATATTAAGGAACCATCATAAAATAATGACTATTTTGGGATTTTTAACTTTTTGATATTTTCTTCCCAACTTTGACTATTTGAAAATTTTAGCTCAGTCAAATTGATAAAGTAAATGAAATATTGCTATGTGGGTATCTAACTAAAGAGTTTTAAGAAGGCTTACAGCCGAAAATATGTTTGAGAGTTTGCCACCTGTTAGAAATTCAACTCAATTTAAAGATAAAATAAATTACCTATTACAATAAAGGTGTCAAATTAAAGAGGTTTAAGGAAGATTACTGTTGGAAATATTTTTGAGGAGGGTTGCGACCTATTCGAAAATTTTAACTCAGTTAAATTGATGAAATAAATGAAATATTTTAATGTGGGTATCAAACTTTAGATTTTTAAGAAGTCATAGGCACTCCGCACATTACGCGCCTAATCTTAGTAGAGTAATCGTTTCGACATGCCGAAACGAATGCATGACGACTCCACTTCTGCACACTACCGCGCCCTGCATAAGCCCTTGAGGCACACACATACCACACATTACATATTTTCTGGCCGTTCTTTCTCAACGATACACTTCCGCGAATATTTCTGCAGTAAAATATTGCATAAAGGCTTATAGCTTAGTACAATTAGCACGAATCATTAATTCTCAATTATTTCCTATTGAAGTGACAAATAATTTTTATTTCCAACATAAAAAAGTAAACAAATTACGATTTCAAAACAGCAAGCGCCTAACAATGTTGGGCGCTTCGATTCATGAAGCTTTTATGACTAGGCGAAAACATGATTATGAATTGTAATGTACAGATTATCATTCAAATACATATGTTCGGAATAAAAGCTTCATACTTTGGTATGCCGAAACGATTACACTGCTATGATTAGGCTCTTAATGTGCGGATTGCCTTAAAGACGGAAATATGTTTGAAATGGTTTGAAAATTTAATTCAATTTAATTGATAAAATAAACGACTTATTACAATATAGGTATCAAATTAGAGAGATTTAAGAAAGTCACGGTTGGAAATATTTTTCAGGAGGGTTGCCACCTATTTAAAAATGTTAACTCATTCCAATTGATAAAACAAATGAAATATTGCAATGTGGGTATCAAATTAAATAGGTTTAAGAAGGATAACTCTTGGAAATATGTTTGAGGAGGGTTTCCGCCTATTTGAAAATTTTAACCCAGTTAACTTGATAACATAAATGAAATACTGCAATATGGGTATCAAAGTAAAGAGTTTTAGGAAGGCTTACAGCCGAAAATACGTTTGAGGAGGGTTACCACCTGTTTGAAAATTTATTTAAATTTATTTGATAGAATAAATGACATATTACAACATAGGTACCAGATTAAAGAGGCTTAAGAACGATGACTGTAGGAAATATTTTTGAGGAGGGCTACCAACTATTTGAAAATTTTGACTCAGTTAAATTTATAAAATAAATTAAATATTGCACTGTGGGTATCAAACTAAAGACTTTTAAGAAGGCTTACAGCCGAAAATACGTTTGAGGGGGGTTACCACCTGTGTGAAAATCTCACTCAATATAATTTATAAAATATATGCCATACATATTACAATATAGATATCAAACTAAGAAGATTAAGAAATATGACTGTAAGAAATACTTTTGAGGAGAGTCGCAACTTATTTGACAATTTTAACTCAGTTATTTGTTTTTGTTATTTTATGGCCTTATAACAATTATATTCAACAATTTTTATTGAGCTTGAGGCCGTTTTTAATGAAACACTTATTGTGGAAAAGCAACAATAATTTTAAAAAATGGTAGAAGTGATAGCTATTTCGGAAATCACCACATTTCCTCATCAGACTGTTGCTTTTCCACAATAAGTTTTTCATTAAAAATGGCCTCAAGCTCAATAAAAATTGTTGAATATAATTTTAACCCAGTTAAATTTATAAAATAAATGAAATATTGCAATGTGGGTATTAAACTTTGGAGTTTTAAGAAAATATTTTTGAGGAGGGTTGTTACCTATTTGAAAATTTAAATAAATTTCATTGATAAAATAAATGACTTACTACAATATAGGTATCAAATTAAACAGGTTTAAAAAACATAACTGCTGGAAATATTTTTGAGGAGGGTTGCAACCTATTTGAAAATTTTAACTCAGTTAAATTGATTAAATTAACGAAATATTGCAATGTGGGTATCAAACTAAATAGTTTTAAGAAGACTTACACCTGTTAGAAAATTTAACTTAATTAAATTTATTAAATAAATGAAATGTTACAATATTACCCATAACGAAACGAAAACGAAATTACCCAAACGAAAGGTATTTGAGAAATCTTGATTTGCAAANTAAATTAACGAAATATTGCAATGTGGGTATCAAACTAAATAGTTTTAAGAAGACTTACACCTGTTTGAAAATTTAACTTAATTAAATTTATTAAATAAATGAAATGTTACAATATTACCCATAACGAAACAAAAACGAAATTACCCAAACGAAAGGTATTTGAGAAATCTTGATTTGCAAATATTCTAAATGGATTATGCAATATGGAAAAGTAAACCGAAAATATTGAAATTAAATTAAATATTACATAACTGGTTCGAAACGGAGAGTGATTGGGAAAGCTTTACTGGAGATTTTTTTTTTTAATGTTTCCACTTATCCAAATCCGGACAGTTCAAAAAAAGAGAGAATTTATTTTATTATCAATGAAGAGTTGGTATACAAATTATGCAATAAAAAAATTCATAAAAAGCTACTGATACAATTGAAGAAATCATAAAAAGCGTAACGAAAACATAAAATTATCCCATGAAATAAAATAATGAAAACTTAAAATTGTCACCATTCCCTTACATTATAAAGCAGTTAAATTTTAATCATAAACAATTTCGTTCGGTCGCCATAGCGTACTAAGTATATTGCGAGCATGGGCGTAGCCAGGTAGGGGCAGGGGGGCCCGGGCCCTCCCCCTAACTATAAAAGTTTTGCCTAGATATTCAAAAATAGTACCTCGAAATGCTTGCTTGATAATTTCGGCCCCCCCTAAATTTCAAAGTTTTTCCTATATATATACTGTATAACAAATTATACTCCCAACGCTAACAAAATAATTAGTAAATTGATTTATAAAGTAGATATGTGGATCATCCGGTTCTGTATCAAGTTATTATCTCTAACTTCAAAGCACTTCCATNCCCGGGCCCTCCCCCTAACTATAAAATTTTTGCCTAGATATTCAAAAATAGTACCTCGAAAT